AGTCCTTATCCAAACAACATACTATATTTGTATCCATATTATACATTCAAATATCTAATTATGATATCGTTAAATGTAATTAGTCCCCATCCAAACAACAAATTATATTTGTATTCATAGTTTACGTTCAAACTTTTGTCTATGATACCATCAAATTTCATTAGTTTCCGTTCTAATAATAGACTTTCTCACATGTTATAACATTCTTCCAAGCAACAGGCTTTTTAACTTGTTATTAGGTCTATTGTTGTGGTCAATTAAGAACACATGACCATTAGTGTCATTGTGGTTAATCACAATCACAATATTAATATCATTATTACGGTCATTCATTAACATAATAATTATTTTTGTTGTTGCTGTTTTTTATAAACTTAATATTTATTTTAGTTGTTGTGGTTAATTTATATTATAAATTAATTTTTATTATTGTAGTTGATTACAATTGTCTACTAATTAGTGCTATTGTGATGTTTTACAATTATTTACTAGTTATCATTGCAATTTATCACAATTATTTATTAGTTATCATCATTATAATTTTTCATAATTCACATGCAATATTATCACTTTTATAATTAACTACAAAACATAAATGACTTTTAAATTTTATACAAGATAATTAAATCACTATACATTTAGATTTATTTTCTAAATATCTCAAAATCTACCTATAACTTTTTGAGTAATCCAAATAACATCTATCAATTATCATTTCTTCCTTAACTTATTTTAAGTATATTTATTCCAATCAATAAACACAACCCCCAAACCCAATTAGCCAACTCACATTCAACATGTAAACCACATTGAAATACCTTCCCAAATATAATTTACTCACACCTACCATTTTAATAGCTAAACAATACTATAATTTTACCCCAAATCTCACCATTTCCATACATACAATTTTCCAACACATACATCATAATATGCATAACACCCATCACATCAAACATTCTACTTTATTTTCTCACACACAGTTTGTAAACTATTTCTCTCTACACATGGCTGG